GAACGTATATGTGTCTAGAGACACATATTAGACACATGTACACCACTATATTAGACATTATAGACCAGAAAACAAATTCATATGTGAGTCTAGACATAAAATTTAGCATTCCCTATCTGGGTTTTCACAGATGTCTTTATTTGACAATTAAGCTACTGTGGAGGAAAATTAAGACCCTAGACTCTGAAACTCATTCTTGGAAAATCTGTATATCCATGGTACCCCAAGTTAAGATTTTTTTTTGTCAAATGATGCATTAACAGTGGAAAATCGATAAGAGGATGATCAAATACAGCATTATTTAGAGTGTCAGTTTGAAATTCTGTAAGTCTATAAAAAAGTTGAGGGTAAACAAACTATGTAGTGGTATAGAGTCTCTTAAAATCCCAAAATTCCTTAGGCAAACACTTTTCACTTTGCTAATGTTTCTGTAGTAATTCATGGTTGTGCGAGTGTAGTTATGTAAATATTTCTGAAAATCTGGTCATCACCCATTTAAATTCTATAGCTCTCATCTAAGAAAACTATAAACACTTTTCTCACTAAAATGTCATGAGTTATTTATGTGAAACAGATACATATCAAGATATCACATTAGCTCCCTTACCTGGTAAATATTCAACATTTTCATGTAAGCTCTTTACCTCGTCAGTAATAAATAGGACATCTAAAATTCTTTCTATAAATGACAATTGCAATGTTTTGTTTTTTGAAAATTAACATATGCACTTTTATTAGTTTCAGGTATTTCACTATGATTTGCTCTTAGTGTATATTAAAAATGATCACTATAATAAGTCTATTTAACTTCCATTACCATGCATGTAGTTTTCTGTTGGAGTAAAAAAGAGGTTAATTCAGACTGTAATTTTTTTCTTTCTGGATTCATGTTTTTCTGTTTTCCTCATAGATTTCAATTTCATATATTTTACAGTGGCTTTTGAGTTGTTGAAAATCAAATAAGTGGATAATTGGACTAGTACAGAAAATAGAGTGATTCTTAATGTTTCTTATTGTATTGTTGAGAGAATATTAAAAATTATTCCTAACTGGAGTCTTAGGATATGTTATTTTTTAATGATAAGTTAATTCTGTACTCAGTGCCAATAAAATGATAAAAATCATGAAATATTCAGTTCAGTTTTATGTGGAGGCTAATATGAGTTAAAATTTAATCTGACTTAGAAATAATTGAACTTCAACTTCAGTTCATAGAGCAGTTTCCTGTTCACGTCAAACTTGGTAACAATACTGTTATTTCCTGATTTTGCTGGAAGCATAATGATTTATTTCAGAGAGACTGAAGGCCCATTTTTATAAAATAATTGATATAAGATATGCAATTACTGTTGATAAAGATATATTGTAAGGACAGATTTTTCCTCATTGGTTTGTGTTTTACTTTACATTTACAATGTTGCAGAAATTTTAATTGTGGATGGATTAGATGAATTAAATAAAATTCTAATTTAATTTCCATTTGTATTTCTTACTGTAGCATGAGCACTGTCTGCATCTGAGTCACTTTACAACTGTAAGCAGTGCAGAGAAACTCAAGTATTCTGGGGCATAATACTTAGCCAATAATGACTAGATAAATGCTATATGGTGTGAGCTGGAAAACTGCAAATAGACAGCCCTGACATGTGTGGTTCAGTGGGTTAAGCATCATTCCTCAAACCACAAGTTTGCTGGTTCAATTCCCTGTCAGGTTTCAAACCTGGGTTGTGGGACGGGTCTCTGGCTGTAGGTGTGTGAGAGGCAGCTGATCAATATTTGTCCCACACATCCATGTTTCTCTCCCTTCCAGTCCCTCTCTCTAATAATTAATAAGTAAAATATTATAAATAAACAGAAAATATATATCACCATTTCTTTTTCATCTTCAATCTTAAGAAGTTTATAGTTCATTTTCTTACAGGATTTCTTACTGTCTTCATAGGTCTTCAAATCACAGGAAAAATAATAACACTTCTCTTTATTGCATGACCGTTTTCTCTCACATGTGCTGCTCTTGCTTCCTTGAAAAGAAAAGATATTACCCAGTGTGCATCTTAAAAGAGGAGTCTGAGGATGAGACACAGAAATCCTTTCCAGTCCTTCTAAACACATTTATTGAATGGGGATGATGGGCTTCATTTTAGCTTTCCAAATAAACTTTCTGGCCTGGGAAGAGTTATATAACTTAAAATTTTCACTGATTCTATGTATAATATTTTTAAGAATTTCTAAGAAGATTGATATTTTCCCTACAACTTCAACAAAAAGGACTTAATAATGAGAAGCAACTTCTCTGAATTCTCTAGACTGAGTAAAATCTGTAGGTACAGAGACAGTCTGAACTTATTCCCTGACTGCACAACCATATTGAGAGGTTTAATAATGATTAGAAAATCTGATAGTGAGAGTTTGTTTTTTATGGTTTTGTTTGTTTTCTGTAGAAAACGTATTATTTGGAGAACCAGTAAGTTGAAAAATATAGTATTGTACAAACAATAAAACCTAATCTCTGGGAAAGGCAGATTTTTTTCTTGTTCAATTAAGTAAAAATTAAATTTGGATCCTGTGATTATTTATGCATAAAAAAGTCCGATTGGAACAGGATATCAGCTGACTGAGGAGAGCAGAGGAGAGCCCTATCGGTCTCAGGCTTCAAGTCATTTGTCTGCATACCTGTGTGAAGTGGTTCCTCTGTGAAAGTTGTGTTTTTTCAACATGGAATTGTCTTCCTGTGTGAGGTTGTCCAGTGGTGTTTTCTGTGGCTGGTATTCGTGATGACCCTGGAAAACTTTTCTGGACATTATTAGCTCAAGGAGAAGATAACATGGGACTGAATAATAAGCATAGTTTTAATTTTAATAATGTTAGTTCATGTTCAGGAGTAACGACCATTTTTATATGTGTCCACTTTAGGCACCTCTTCTCTGTATAGGATTTACACATTTATATATCATTTGTTTAAAATATATTAGTTAATGGTAACACATCTTAGTGGATCTTGGATACAACCATGAAAAATGCAAAGGTTCTCTTTTGAAGAAACTCACTTGCTGTGATGGGAAGGCTGTAGGGGACTACATGACGGGTGACACAAGTAATTCAGTGTTGCTGCTGAACCCAGCAGAGATTGGCTAACAAGGTGAGCTCTGAAATAGCGTGAGACGTCAGCAAGACTTCAAATTTACAAGCTTTGGTGCATTAGAAGTTAACATCAGGAGAGTGAAAAGATAACTAAAAGGATGAGAGAAAAGATTTGAAAATCACTTATAAGAATAATGTACATAATATTATATCCATCTCATAAAATAGACTATTTTGGATGTTTAAATCAAGGCCATACTGATATATTCCATCATCCAAGAACCTTGGAAACATTACATTGATTGAAATAACCCAGCCTGAAAAGATAATGTATTATATGATTGCATTTTATAAGATGCTCAGAATAAACAACTCAATGGATATAGAAAGTAGAATAGTGATTGTTTCAGGCTGACTAATTTGAAAGGAAATGGGCAATAAGTGCTAATGCATATAGGGTTGCTTTATTGGGGATAAAAATGTTTTATATTGATTACAGTTATAATTTTACTATTTGAATATATTAGAAGCCATTGAATAATAGGCTATGAAGTGGTGAATTGTATAGATGAATCATATGTCAATAAATTTCACACAGACACACACAAATCAAAGAGCTTGATTTGCAAACCAGGAACCTTGAGTCAAGGCCATTAAACAGAATGGTGTTCTTTAAAATATATACACAGAGAATTAGATACACTGTATATGAGTATAACTGCCTTTAATGCAAGCCTGGTACCTCATTTTGAGTCACTCACAGTGTCTAACATGAGAGGAAAATGATCCAGAGCAGCGGTTCTCAAGGGGGGATAATTCTACCCTCCAGAGTGCATTGGCCACATCTGAAGTCAATTTGGATGTTACTATGGTACTCTAGTGAGTAGCGGACAAGGATGCTGCTAATAACCTATAATTCACAAAACAGCATCCCTAACAAATAATTACCCCACAAAAATGTCAATAGTGCTGAGGTTGGAAACCATTATCCAGGATAAAAATTACAAGACGAAAATAAGAAGATGTGAAAAAATGAGTCTTTTGAATGAAGAATTAACACTTGGTTAGGTAATTATGTAATAATCATGGAGGATTTGGAAAAGTCTTCAATATTTTACCAAACGGGTTTGAGGATGGGTATGGTCTTTACTGGCAGAGACAGGCTACAGGTGGAAGGCCGTCCAGCAGAAAGGAATGGCAGACAGACAGATGTGCTGGGACAGAGACACTTAGAGAACATGAGGGTAAGAGCAAGTGAGCTAGAGTTACTTAAAGCTAAATTGGACACGAGAATTTAAACTTAAAATTATTTGACTGAAAAAGATCAAAATTATGAAAGCAAACATAAGTAATGGAATTTTACCATACTTCAGAAGAGAATGAAATATCTCTAGTGATTTCTTATCATTTTGATACATGGTCAGAGACATTTGGAGAAGAGTATTTTGAAGTCTGTTGACTTTAGCATAATTTAGGTGGCAATTTCAATAGCATAGAGGAAATATATTATTTTGTTGCAGCAGGTCTTTAGAAGAATAAACTAATTACAAAGTAAATTTGAGCTGCAGACTGAAGATTCAATGGTGAACCAAGGAGGCTGACAGTTTCTTGTAAGAAGGCATCAGAGAGGAGAGTGAAAATTAATGTGCACACAGCATGATCGACCATCATGAACACCTCAACAGAGCTTTCCTGGTGATATCCTGCATATGACCCGGTATTTGTGAGTAAAGAAGAAGTGAGAAGTTTTCAAGAACTTTGAAATAGCCAAGTGATCACTTTACTGGTGAAGGTGGAAGGGTTTCCTGTATAGAAATTTTGATCACAACAATGGAACTAGTAGAAAAGAAATACTAGTAGAGAAGTAAGTCCTAGGGGATCAGCTACACAGTTCAGGGCACAGGGCTGGTTGAACTTACCCATGAGTGCCAAAATTCCAGTTGTTACAAGAAGAAAGAAACAGAAGATTCCAAGGATCACAACAGTGAGACACCAGGTAAATGGTACTGAAGACACTGCTCAGAGATAAAAAAGAGAGACTGAGTAACTCAGCAAAGACAAGACTGAATTTAAAAGCCAACTTCAGAGGGATATTTTTCAGAAATTCAGTACCCTACCTCTTCAATATCTTCAAACTTGAAATTGTCAATTGAGTGTGATACTTAACAATTTGAAACAAGAATGAATGGAGAATTGAATGCCTGCATTCTGCTCCTTATTCTGTTTGTTGTGCTTCTCTTGGGGAAGTCACACATTCTAACTTTACCAAAATTATCCCCTGCCTCATCTAAATGATTTAGGAATACAAAGTGGAATATTAGATATATAGACTTGGCATTAAAACTGCAAATACACTTCTAAAATATATCTGTATACATCACTTTTATTTATCCACTCTCAGAAGATATTTCTTATTTTGCTTATTTCTTATTTAATATATATCTTATTTTGATATTTCTTAATATCAAAGGCTTGCAAACATACTATAATTTTCTCATTGGAGCCTTATTACTGTTCTTCAAGATTAGGTTTAACCTCACCTACTGCACAGAAGAAATTATAATCACAAACACATGTCAAATAATGGTCATCATATACTGTCTCTTGCAACTTGTAGAATGAGTGAGTGACATCAGGAGATTCACAATTGTTTCCAAACAAGTTGAAAAGAAACAATTTTCCTACCTGACTTGCTCAGTTATGCACATGCATACAGAGCACCCAAACTACATTAATTCCCTGGAATACACTAAAGGTGGATACTTAATTTTTTACAGTGGTTTTTCTGAAGGAGTGTACACATAAAATATGACTTGAAAGGCCTCATGAAAGTGGGCAGGCTAACTCAGTTACAACAAGCAGTGGTTTGTGAGTAATGGTGGTTGAATTACATTCACACAGACTACACAATTAGAGGACATGTAAGCTTGGTCCTCTACACAAATTTTACCTTTTCCTTTGGATGATTTATTCCTTGTTATCTTTGTCTGTCTGGAGTTTGAAGAAGATTTGTTCACTTCTGAGTAAATTACCGACTCTTTTACCTCTGGAGATTGAAAGAGAGATGTTGTCATTGCTTTGTATTTACACTATTCTCACAAACAGGGAGGTTATTAAGATGTGTGAAGGTGGTTGAAAACATTTTTCCAAATAAAAACATTGATGTAATTGTTTTCTTCTGACTAGGCAAACTCCATCACACAAATCTTTTAAATGGTACAATTCTGAGAAGATGTTAGACATAAAGTGTCATGTGCTAAATTAAGAAAAAATCTTTAGCAAAATTATTTAAGAAGTAAGAGAAAATAATAACAGAATTCAATAGGGATTAGGAAAAATACTCACTTTCATTTTGCATGTGCTTTCTGGAAGGAAGGTGTTTCAAATCTGCATATGTTGTGTTTTTTTCATTCATCTCTGAAAAATTTTGAGGTACAATTCTAAAGAACACAAATTGACAGTTTTTAAATTAGTTTTCAATTTCTGTCATTTCTAGGTTTCCCACAAATAATTAAAATCAATATTTCATACCATTTAACTACTGATGAATGATTTTATTTTTGCAATATCTTTCCCAAAGAGATTTTTCCTTAGATTATTTTCTTTCCCCTTTTCAAAATTATCAGTTATTATTTTTCTTCCCATACCTGGGTATTGTCATTTCACCAACTATGCCTGGACTTATCTGAATACAACATTTTATTTAATGTAAAAGGTTAATAACACTATGATCAATAAAATATATATAAAACATTAAACAATTTTCCCTATCCCAATAAATTCCAAGAAAAATTTGATGAGTCATTTATATTTGAAAAATATATTGTGTTACATGGTGTTATTTTTTATTTTTTTTTTAAGATTTTATTTATTTATTTTTAGAGAGGGAAGTGGGGGAGATAGAGAGAGACAGAGAAACTTCAATGTGCGGTTGCTAGGGGTTATGGCCTGCAACCCAGGCATGTACCCTGGCTGGGAATCAAACCTGGGACACTTTGGTTCCCAGCCCACGCTCAATCCACTGAGCTACACCAGCCAGGGCTATATGACATGGTGTTATTAGAAAATATCTCCATGATCTCTGCTAATTTTTTTCTGTTTATCTTTACCTTTTATTAATGATTCAAAGACAATTTGATTCCTATAATATTTTAAGACATTGTTATCACTTCCAACAAAGCATTGAAAATGAATGTCCAACAATTAGGACACAAGTGGACTGAGCTGTACTCCCGTGGTGAGTGGTTTTATGCCCATAATATTTGAAAGCATAGGCTAAAGTCAACTAATCTTACTTGAAATAACAAGTTTACTTGCGAATGTTAAAAATTTAATTAATTTGTTTCAAGTATTTTAAATATTATCTCAGTAATCAACAAAGAAATGTATAGAAATAAAATTCTGTTTACTGAAAAAAAATTTAAATTCTTAATCTCACCAGTTTCCCAGTGTATCATCAACTTCAACAGTTTTTGCTTGGTTTTGTTTTCTCAGCATTATGCTCCACTTATGTTTTATGATATGACTAAAATATATAGGCTTCAGTTTGTTAATAATATGCACTATGCCTTTAGGTCATTTACCACAAGATAACATCTCATAAGAAAACCTGATTTACATACATACTTTTATAATGCTTTTAAAATTTTTTACCAAGTCTGCAATATATCAGTAATGTGAACATATATTACACAAATTAACAAAGTCCAGACATAGATGTAAAATAGGAAAACATCTTACTATACAGAGAAGGAAAATTAATATTAATTAAATATTTACTTAACTTCTCATATCTTGTCCTCTTTCATATGACCATTTACTCTATTGAAGCATTTGGTGAATTCAACAGATATATCAAGAAACTATCAGTTATATTTCATGTTAAAATAAGAAAACTGTATAGGAGGTAATTCATTTGTAAAGTAATTTTTGAACTTGAATGGTTCAGCTCATTTGCCTACAAGATTGAAGGTATGATTACTTTAAAAAACAGCCTATTCTTTGTGCTCTGTATAGGCAATCAGGTGGCAGGAACAGCAGTGATATGCGCTGAGAGCCACAGCTATAGACATAGTTGGCGATACCTGTGTCAGGGCAGTAGAGTTTTCGCTCCAGTGGAGTGCGGTCCAAATAGAAGAGGTGAGCCCCTGCAGGTGGATGGACTGGAAGTGCGTGTTCTGGCAAAGAAGGTGATTCTTCTGGGCTCCCTATGTTATCTGCCCTGGTTTCCCAAGAGCCTTCAGTGCTGCTCAGCTACAGAAGTTGTGAGAAAATAGTTCACATTTAAGCCTCAGGTTTCACTATCTGCATCCTTTATCACAGAGACATTGGTTCCTTTCTGTCTTTTTTTTCTGCAGAGATGAGTGAGGAACATAATTTAAAGGCCCATGCTGATTTTGCACAGAATATAAAGTAAACCTCAGCAAAAAAAGACCACTATTACCACTGATGACCACCACCAAAGAGTGAGATCTAAATATATTCTCTATAGCAGACACTAATGTTTTGTGCTCCAAAAGGAAATTACACCTAATGAGAAATTTACATTTCTCTTGTATACTACTATAATATTAGCTAGTTGAAAATACATAGATACTAACAGGGTCCACATATTTTTCTGAATGAGAGTTTGATTAGTAAAGGTTTGTGGACTTAAATTGTATTCGAAAGAGAGGCACCCCATCCTTGGTTCTTTACAAATATATCTAAATTCATGGTTTTATTCTTTGAAACATTTTTCCTCAAAAGTTTTTTACAGTCTGTTTTTCCATGTATTTTAGTATAAACAGGGTATACTTTGACAAAACTTCAGGTTTTGATGAGTTTCGGTTCCCTTCCCCTGTACTCAGTACTATAATTATAAAATACAGAAATATGTTATCTCCCTTCTTAGTAATCTCATGTAGCATAGCCCATGGTGTACTGGGTAGACAATGACAATGCAGTTGAAATATACAGATCCTAGCTCATCCTAGAAAAAGATTGAAAGAGTTTCACCTGTTTATACCATAAATGAATGGACCATATCCCAGAAGTAAACCCACACATTTATAGTCAGTTAATAATCTACAGTGGAAGCAAGCACATGCAAAATGGACTGAGGATAGTATATTAAGTAAATGGTGTTGGGAAAATTAGACAGATATGTGCAGAAAAATGAAACTAGATCACCTTCTCATATCTCACTCAAGAATAAATTAAAAATGGTTCAAAAAATTTGTTAGATCCCAAATCACAAAAATCCTAGAAGGAAACACAGGCACCAAAATCTCAGATATTGGTAGTCAAAATTTTTATGAGATATATTTCCTTAAGCAAGGGAAACAAAAAGACAAAAACAGATGGAACTATATCAAACTAAAACGTTTTTGGAAAGCAAAGAAAAACATCAACAAAATAAAAAGTCAACCCACAGAATGGGAGATCATATTTGCCAACCATCTGAGAAGAGGTTAATATCCAAAATTTTTAAAGTGCTTACAGAGCTCTCTGCCAAAGAAAAAAATGAAATAAAAAATGTGGAAAGCACTTGAGCAGAAACTTCTTTAAAGAGGACATACAGATATCCAACAGACATAAGAAAAAATGCTCAACATCGCTAATTATCAGAGAAATGGAAATTAAAACCACAGTGAGATACCATCTCACACCTGTCAGAATGACTATCATGAACAAGTCAACAAACAACAAGTGCTATCAAGGATGTGGAGAAAGGGGAACCTTTTGCACTGTTGGTGTAGATGCAGACTGATGCAGCTCTGTGGGAAACAGGGTGAAGACACCTCAGAAAGTTAAAAATGGATCTGTCTTTTGACCCAGAGATTACACCTCTGGGATTATATCTGAACTCAAGAAGAACATAACCCATGCTGTGTTCACTGCAGCATTATTTACAATGGCCAAGATATGGAAGCAGCCCAAGTGCCCATCAATAGATGAGTAGATAAAACAACTATGGGACCTTTACAAAATGGAAATCTTCTCAGCCATCAAAAAGAAGAAAATTTTACCTTTTGCAACACCCTGGATAGATATGGAGAACATTATGCTATTGAAATAAGCCAGTCAGGGAAAGACAAATACCATATGATTTCATTCATAGGTGTAACTCACTGAACAAAGTGAATGAACAAGTGAGATGGATACCGGGCCAGTGGTATCCCTTGCAGCTGCGGATGCTCATCAAAATATTAGAAAAAACATACACATGGACAACCGAGTCCTGTGGGGAAATAGGTATGAAATGGCCACTCTCTCTAGGGTAGAGCACCTCATTCTCCCATGCAAGCAGGCTTTTATTCTTGAATAAAGATACAGTTTGAAAATTACAAGTAGTTAGCTTTGAAAGGCACTGGCAGATCTCCTGCTGGGATTCTGAGATTTAGGGGTTTTATCATTTAAAAAGACTACATGACCTAAAAGCTTAGTTTTGTTTCCTGGCTGTGCCTTCATGTTCTAATTAAAGAGTATCCTCCAGCAAGCAGGTCTTACAGGATCTTTCATACTCTATGTCTCAGGTCTAATTACCCCAGGGATCTGCCGACTCTGGTCTGGACTACACTGTCCCTGTTATTTCTCTAGGCCTGAGATGGCCAGAGGAAGCAAAGGCAGCCTGGAGCCTTGGATTTCTCAAGGACTCAGGATTTGGCAAAGCTGAGGGGCCAGGGGTCGATGTTGATCAGCCCTTCATTTCCACAGCCCCCCAAGTCCTCCCCTGAGGCCTCCACCTGATCATGCCCGTTTTAGGCAATTCCCCCCGTGGGAAATCTTACCCATCACTGGTGAACTGATCAAGCATAGGAGGCCACGCACAGAACAGGCAGTGTTCATGCCAGGGAAATAAGGTTTTTGTCTCCTTAGTGTTTCCTGGTTCAGAGGCCTCTTACTCAGCCTTAGTCACAGGTGGTTACAGATTTCTGAGACCAGGCAGGGTGGACCTCAACAAACAAGCAAAACAGAGACAGACTCGTAGATGGCGAGTAGGTGACAGCCAATCAGGGGTGACGGGTTTAGCGAGTGGAGGGACTGTAGCAAAAAGGAAAAAGGACTCAGGGACAACAGTGTAGTGGTTGCAGGCAGGGTGAGGTTGGTATAAGGGGATTAAATGGTCATGGGAAAATACAATAAAGTTTAACTTCTTAAAACACAGTAAAGAATACATTTCAATGGTGAATTTAATTTATTCAAAATCATACATGGATCAGGAGAGCATTATGCTAAGTGAAATAAAAGACAAATACCATATGATCTCACCTTTAAGTGGAACCTAATTAAGAAAACAAACAAGCAAGCAAAATATAAGCAGACACTTTGAAATTGAGAACAAATGGGCAGTAACCAGAGGGGAGGTGGGTGGGGAGAATGGGTAGAAAAGGGGGAAAGGTTTTTCAGGAACAACTATAAAGGACATTTGGACAAAACCAAGGGGGGTGGAATCAGAGG